TGGGTGCCCATCTGAGTCGGACTAGTCGGCAATATAGGCCTGAAGAGCCAAGACTTGTAATCCTTCCACTTTCAGAAGCAAGGGGTTGTCGCAACTCTGTGAAGCCAGCCTAACGCATTGCCCCTTTTATCTAGGTTCCAAGAGACCCAAAGCCTTCGCTCAAGCCACTTGAACCAACTCTCGACTTGGAGCGGACAAGTCAAGTTACACACCACCCGACCCAACCAAACTGGACCAAATCATAATCCAACCCACTTTGATACCCCCGCTTGGGTTACAGGCAAACGATGCGAAGAATGACGGAGGAGCCGGGGGAGTTTGATAACTAGACATGAAGAAGCAACAAGGAACCCTACCGAGATTTTTGGTACGTTCCCAAATAATAAACGTTATGCATCAAACTTTCACAAAAGGTGTTGTCAATTAAAAACATAATCAAAAATTAATTTCCTCATCCGAACGATGATGTTAATCACGGAGAAACTAGAGATCCTTGTGAGTGGACCATGATGGTTCCATATAAACGTTAGGGTCATATATAATTAAGATTCTATGAACTAAGAGTGAGTGACCCTGCCCCATTTTGTATCCCTAGTCTGATTTTGGAATTAGGGCAGAGCCACTCAGTAGACTGTCTTTTCGATCATTAATTGTATACGGTTAGGTTACACCCAGCTATCATTGAAAAACCTAGTAGAAATCAGACTGCAAATTCCATCGTTTTACATCAGAGCACTAATATTATCAGTACATCTAAAAAGCAGGAACGAAATAGACGTAATAGTAACAGCAAGAAACGAAACTGGTTATGATAAGAACATGAACGTAGAACACCCTATCATTCTTAACAACCATCCCTTCCCAATCGACGTAAAATCTGTTATAATAAGAAGTCCAACGTCGTCACTTGTTACAGAGAGGTTGATCCTCACCATACCAAACTTCAAGCACTACAAAGCGACCTTCCGTCTTACTCAGTCGAATAACGAAACCCTTTCAACCTATAACGACAAATCCCTAGCATCCAGACACATAAGCCTTTATGTAAGAGATACCACGCTCCTCTCTAGCCTCAATAAAGATTAGGAGCAAGAAACAAAAGACATCAAGGGAATCCGAAAGGTTTACAACCTCCCCCAGATATTCCCTAAATCCCTTTGGAAAACAACAACCATGTGCTAAGTTGAGTTTGGAATCGACTCGACTCTTTGAACCATCCCAATAACCAAACCCCCGATACCACTTAGCACCGTCACAAAAATAGATAGTGGCTATCCACAAGAACGATATAATAGGTAAGGAAAACATCAGACCAAGCCTCTAATCGCAGGAAGCACCCATCTGACTCATAAGGGGGAAAAGGCGAATTGCCCATAGAACCACTAACTACTAAGGAGCCAAACAAACCCATCCTCAAGGATCGATACTCCTTACCCCGAATCAGAGACTTGCTCGGCCAACATCAAAGAACAGGCAGATGACGACCTACCTCTAGCTCGGGATCCCATAGGAAGAAAACTCCTAAGGTAACCTAAGACTCATAAGGTCAGCTACACCACACGCAACCTCAACCTTGGTAACAATAGTGCCAACCCATAAGGCCTATGAACTCTACTTCTAGAACACCAGGAGCACGATCCTTAGAAGACCATTCGAGATCCTCGCCAGGATAGGTCCAGTAACCTACGACCTTCGGTTATCATAAGACACTAAGCTTCGTACATTTCACATTCCACATATTCAACACTAATGAGTGTCTCACCACCGAAGCTCTAGCAAACTCCACTCGACAAGATTAAGTAAACGAGAACCCACACCCCGAAGAGAAGCATGTGAGGATCATAGACGGGGAAATCAAAAGAACAAGGTCAAACACTAATAGCGAAAATCCGCTGGAACGCCGCGTAAAGATCAAAAGAAACAAAAGTACACACAATTTTGCTCAACCTTTAATGTTCCCCTAAGAATTTGAATTTCAGGACAAAATTCCCTCTAACGGGGGATGATGTGACAACTCGAAATATTAGGATCAAGCAGGGTCTAAATTGTAACCCTATCACAATGAGAACCTTGAAAATCATGAGAGCATAAGTGCATGTATAAGGAAGTATACACTTTGAAAGTCACATATAAGGTAACCTCTTGGAAAAGTAAACAAGTTAAGCAAGACACGGTGGTACAAATAAATTGGGATTCAATTTACAATGCAATCAAACAAGGATCACATGGTGTAGACACAAGAACTTGTAATTGTGTCACAACCTTGAACAATTAAATTATAAGGACAACATAATTGTATTTGCTATTGATTAAGACCATAAAAACCTTCCTAGGACCCATCTAAGACCATGAACTACCCCAAGAACCAAAGCTAGGCCGTGAACACTTAGATATTTTAAGTGTTTACGGATTATGAGTTGTATGTGGCCATTTTTCCATGCAATCTCGAATCTTTATGAATTATCCAACAGTCCTCTAAGCAAGCATCATATCAACCCCACACTCTTATCAAGGAACGTAAACCTTTCCCTCTTCTTCCTTTAGGGGCGTAAACCACTCCTCATTGTATCCCATTTATCATATTCACATTCTGTGAACTCAAAAATTTCTCTCAAACGTATTCAAGCTCCAAGTTTTAGTTCTTCAAAGCAATTCCTAAATCCTAGTAAGTATTTCAAGTTTTGGGTTAGTGATTCTACATATTATCTTGTTTAATTCATCATATTTACACATAAAGATATGTGTTAATATTCTTAGGATATTCCAAGGTTCAAAGAGTTATCAAACTCTTCAAGTGTTAGGATTTGAACTCCTCATCATCTCTCCAAATCATCCACCAAACCAAATCAAGGTGAGCTTCATACCCCTCCTTTGAGTTTTTCATTGTTTTTGGGGGAGGATATTAGTCAAGGGTCTTGTGAAATCTTAGTATAATTGCTTGTTTATGCATGCATGTTATGATTTATGTGTGTTCATACTTATGAAACTCCATATGAATAGCCCAAAAAAATCAAGATTTTGAGCAAGTCTCAAGAGTTTGAACCATATATCACAAATTATGTGTTAGAAACAAAAACTAGTATGTTTATGAAATATAATTCATAAATTGTTATGTCAAGAATCATAAGGTTTTGCTTCAAAATTTTGCTTAAACAAAGTTGTTGGCTTAAAATTTTGGGAAGATGTAAATTATGGAAATTATACTATTTTGGACTATTTTCGGCCAAAAATGTACATAAAAGTCATTTTTGAAATATTGGATAAATTTGAGTTGTTATCGAAAATTTTGATTAAAATGGGCCAAAAGTGGAATTATTTAATAAACAAGGGCCATTTTGGAAATTTTCTTAGAAATGAGCCTAAAATGTGTATTTTAGAAGAAAAGGGCTATTTTCAACAATCCTCGTATTTTTGGATCACTCATGATACTTTTTGACAATTGTGAGTCTTATTTGATAATTTATAAAAAAGAAGGGCCACTTTTGACACGTTGATAATATTGAGTCAATTATGACAAATATGATTCAAAGTGAATTATTTCAATAAACAAAACGAAAGAAACACCTAGTCAACGAGCACAACTAATTTTATGAAACGAAACACCTAGTCAACGAGCACAACTAATTTTATGAAACGAAACGAAATATCTAGTCAACGAGTACAACTATTGTTATTTGTTTAATAAATAACGGATTTCAACGATTTGCATAAACATCTGTTAATATTCTAGTAAGACGCATCTTCACTGTACCTATATATATATATATATATATATATATATATATATATATATATATATATATATATATATATATATTAGTGTACGTTTAAAGTCCTGTAAGAGTTATAACCAGAGTCTCCTGGATGGAGAGCGGGAATTTGTGTATAGATCTATAAGGGGTTGACACCCCGCACCTTCGTTGTTCGCTACAGCTAGACAGATCAGTCTAGGGTGACAAATGTCTTAAACGAATCCGACGCCTGAAGAACGTCTAGATAGGAACTCTGTCATATTAGTTTGGTTATAACGACTCACTTAGAATATAACAATGTTATTTAGAAATTTACGCGGGGAAAACCTTACAAACAAATTGGCACATTGTGTTGACCGCCCCCATGCATAGTAATGATTGTCCACATTCGTTGTGTTGATCGTCCACTTGCATTGTGCGGATTGTCCACAATCGCATGTTGATTTCTCACACCACTCCAGTCTTAGGGTTTTTAAGACCACAAACGATTACACACATACAGAAAATATAGGATTTACTGTGGAAAACAATTTTTATACGATTTCGAAAATTAATCAACTAGAAGACACACACAACTGTACTTGATAAGAAAACCAAGCTTACAACGATACTTTTAAGAAAACATGGGATTTTCTGGAATCTACTTGTTATTACGACTCAAAGGAACTATTCTCAAGTACAACTTGCCTTTATAAATTATAGGACTTTATAAAAATTACTCTTTACAAAGATGAATAAAAGGTAATGACATGCATGCACATATTCATGGTTTCAGAACGAGACTCCAAACGATTTTATAGAAAATATCGGATTTTCTGAAAGTACAACGAGAACAATTCTAAACAAGTGTAAAACTATTTTTATACAAAAATGCTTATGAACTCACCAACTTTTTAGTTGACGCTTTTCAAAACGACTTGTATTCTCAGGGATCTAGTAAGTAGGTAATCACCACGATCGAGGACTGGCGTCGCTGCATTATGTTATTTCTACCTTTGTTATTTCGTTTAACTTTTGAACAGAACAAGTATTGAAAACAATGTAAGTTTAATATTAATGTATGATGTTTGGATTTGCTAATGTTTCATTTATATTCAATTGTTATGATACTACACAATGACGTCCTCCGCCCCCAGACATTTCCGCCGTTCTGGTGCGGGGCTGTGATACATTGTTATCCCTTTAACCCCTTCAGTTTCACCAATGTTGTATCCTGACTCTAGTAGTGGCTACATCTTCTTCAGTCAGTTAGATTTTATCAGGTATAACATCATCTGCATTACCTTCAAGAAACTCAGGTTCTTCCTCTTGAATGTCTCTAAGAATTTCATTTATACCATCCTCAACATCATCAAGAATTTCACTCAGCTTTCGTGACTTAGATTGTCCCTCAACAACTTCATCTATAACTTGACTGACCATACCCTCATCAACCTCTTGTTGTCCATTTTCCTGGTTTTGCCCTTCATCCTGGTTTTTCCCTTCACCAACATGTTTTTGTCCCTGAATCTAAACTTGTCCCTCATCCATAGGTTTTTTCCCCTTACCTCCAGCTCTACCTCCACCCCTTCTACAATTTATTTTTCTCCTTTAAGCAGTTGGCTGATTTGGCTCATTACTGGTTTCTGTACTCCTCCTTCTAGTCTTTCTCCTAGAACCAGATGCTTTATTGGGATCCACATTTTGGTTGATTGGAGTTTCAGTTGTTGCACTTTCATGTTCCTCTTGGTTTTTTCTTGGCCTACCAATTTTTTTTGGGTGCATGTGGAACTCTTGGCCTTGTTTTACTTGTGCAGCTTTGTTTGTTATGTCCAAATTCAAAGCAATTACCACACCTCATAGTTCAGGATACTTTAACTCTTGCAGTAGCAAACTTGGTCTCTTTTTCACTTGAATGCTGTGACAACCGTCAAATTAAAAGTCAACAAGTGAAAGTCAAAGTCAAAATCATCAAGTCAAAGTCAAAATCAACAAGTCAAACTTAATTAGTACTTGTATGCTAAAAGTTATTCTATGTATAAACATGTACATTTGTATGTTAAGAATTCAAGTGTCTTGAATAATCTATCTGTTAACAATGTAAAAACCCTAAAAAGGGAGTTAAACGCATCAAAACGCGACTAAGGACCCTTGCGGGGATTTAAAACAATCATAAACAAAGCATAACGGGATTCGCGAACCTTGCATTACGAGATTATGCGATAATAATGGCTAAGATCAAATCTCTCCCAAATCTCTCCAAGTATGTCAAATCTCTCCCAAATCTCTCCAAGTATGTCAAATCTCTCCCAAATCTCTCCAGGTATGTGAAATCTCTCCCAAATCTCTCCAAGTATGTGAAATCTCTCCCAAATCTCTCTAAGTATGTGAAATCTCTCCCAAATCTCTCCAAGTATATGAAATCTCTCCCAAATCTCTCCAAGTATGTGAAATCTCTCCCAAATCTCTCCAAGTATGTGAAATCTCTCCCAAATCTCTCCAAGTATGTGAAATCTCTCCCAAAATCTCTCTCAAACTTTTTATAGTCATCCGGGTCACCCCGACCCTTAACTTGGTCAAAAATCATGCAAAACAGAAAGATTTCTCGAAAAATAGCCATATAGGACCGAAACTCCTCTTAGGAACCGAACCTCTTAGGAGCTGAACCCTTCTAATGGGAACCGAAACCTCCTGTCAGAACCGAACTTGTTAGAAGCCATCTCGGACTGAAGCTCAGCAGACCGAACCGAGACCCTCGCACCTTCGGTCCCTTCTCCTCCTCTCGGTTCCTTCCTTCCCTTCTCTCGGTTCTCACTCTCTTAGAGCCGAACCTCGCAGGTTGGGTCCATATTGCCAGGTTTTCGACTACTTTCGCTTCCTAAGCCCGTTTTTGACGGGATTTTTTCACCAAATTCATATTTTTATCATTTTTAACCCCCAGAACTCTTATTTTAATTATTTTTCAAGGATTTATTAATTATAAATCATTATTCTACATAAAGAAGAGTATCCTACACCACAAGTGGGTCAAGTGTGCCCACTTGCCTCCTATGTGTCACTTTCTCATTGATCCAACTTTATCCACATCACACAAACCAAGACAAACATCCCTTCACCCTAGCCACTTGCTCCAGCAACCCTCCATATAAGGAAATGCCTGGGATTTCCTTGATCATTTGCTTCACCATCAAACACTTATACACTTCTTAAACCATCAAGATGACCTCTTTTTCTCTCAACTTTCAGCCACACTTTTGAGGTGTTCTTGAGTCATTTATTCACTTATTGGTAAGTATTTCCTTCTAACTCAAGTGCTATTACATGTTTTCATAACACTCTTGGATCATCTACATAGATATTAACACGAAATCGTTCTTAGGATCATCCAAAAACTTCGTGTGTTCATCAAGTGTTCTTCACTTGAAACTCATCATCTTCAACCTTCCATCCTTTAAGGAATCACGTAAGGTGAGTTCATACCCCTACATTTTCTAGTTTTCTTCAGTTTTCAGGGGGGGAGGGGGGGGGAATACAAGTTAAAACACCAAAACATATTCAAAACTTAACTTGACAGCTTACAACAGAAAAGTTGTGACCTGTTCACGAACTGTTTTATCCAACTTAAACTTAATATTTTTTAAAACTGTTTAATATTCTTGTAGTTCAGGTTTATACCTTTAAAATGACTACTTGCACATCTCCATATGATTTTTCTACTATTTATGGTGATTTTTACAAAACTTCCTATCATTTCAGAAACGAATTCGGACCAGTCTGTGATTATGAACACTTTCACATAAGTTAGAGAATTCTAAAAATCATAATAAAAATTATGAATAAACTAGACATATTTTCTAAACTCTCAGAGCATACGGAATTAGTTTTCGGCTTCGTATGATGTTTCTATGAGGATTTCAAAACAGTGCAGGAAGAGTAAAAACTAGTTGCATAACTTACCATATTAACAACACTTTGTAGTATGTTGAGTGTTGGGGTACAAAGTTTTCCTTGAATGACTTTGTAATGCTTGACTTTTGTTAAACCCACTTGCATGTGGAGTATTAGCCTTGTGACACATGAGAGATAGAGAGTGAGAGAGAGACATGTAACCACCTCTATATAAGGTGGGTTCATACCACTTGTAGAGGTGTGCTTGAGAGATGTAAAAGTGAGTGTGTAAGTGTGTGTTATTTATGTAGTCTAGATATAGATCCTTTATGTGTAACACCATATACAATCAATACATCTCTTGAACACCCAAATCACCATGTTCATTGTGCAATCTTTAATTCCGCATGCCAAACCATGTTCTTATGTCACTACAATTGGTATCAGAGCGGGTCTTTAAGATCAACGTGATTTTTGAAGAACGATTCTCGGTTTGGCAATATTTGTCACAATTGAAGCAATTTTTGGTGAGTCTCTCTCTATGATCTCTCTTAATTTCATTGAATTCGTGCGTTGCGTTTTTGATTTGTGATCGTTTGACTCATTGGATCAAATTTTTTTAAAAACCTTTTGTTGTGATCCAATAATTATTTTTTGATCAAAGCTCTATCCAATCTCATATTTGTTGTTCGATTCGATTTTCAAATTGCTAGTGTTCCTTTGAATTGAGTTCTAAGCCCAAAATTATTTCGATCTGGTCAACTTTGAGCTCAAAAATATTTGATCCGAAAATTATAAGCCCAAACATCAAATCCAAACATATTGATCATTTACTGTTCATGAAACATTTTTTGATCCAAATTTTCGATCCAACATCATAAAACGAAAAGCCCATTCATCTAAATCATATATACGATTCGATGGTACACCGTTCTTTATTTTGTGCATATACAAGTTGTACATTGACATTCCAAGCGTTGCTTCATCGTTCTTGAGTCTTGTTCGATGAAGATTGAAATTCAAAGTAAAATCCAATTGATCTTGAAACCGTTTGAATGGATTATGTTTGAATCTATTTTTTAAAGCAAAGATCATCTCTATTTTACTCTTAATTTCACTGATCTGTAATTCTTATGGTTGGGCTCTTTCTCAAATATTTGGAAATCGGATGAAAATCGAGAAGAGAAAAGTGAATTTGTATTTGAAGATGTTATGATTTGGAGTCGATTTTGTATTCGTTCGCATCTACAGGGATGGGTTAATTGGATTCGATTTTAGGTTTGGTGGTAATATCGATTGCCAAAATCTGTTAGTTTGGAGTCGATTTGATGAACTGATGAAGGCTTGATAAAAGAATCGATGTCAATTGTATCATTTGGAATCGATGCTTGGTTCCAACAAGATTCTAAATGTTTGGATGCATTCTTGTTAGTTTACCATCATAAACAGAAATTAGTCATTCATGTTAAGGACTTTTCCATTCATTACGAACACATATAATAAACTACATTAAGTATAGTTTATGAATTTTCGATAAAAGCATACTACATGGAAAAGGTTTTACTCTCAAAACAAATGGGTTTTTCATATACTACATGATAAACCATAATAATGATAGTTTATGGATTTCATATCACTAATTTATTTTCATAAAAGGTGATTTCACTTCCACCACAGAAGGGGTTTAATACTCAAACTATATGTAAACTAGTTGACGTAAGTTGTGAGACATTCTCTATCGTACTCTTAGGGTACGGGTTCGAAAATCCTGAATTAGTTATAACCAGAGTCTCTTGTAGGGAGAGCATGATAATTGTGTATAGATCTATATTGGGATTGACAACCCACACCCATGCTGCTTGCATAAGTCCGATCGGCCGATCAGGGGTGACAAATGTCATTTCGTTTCCGACGTCTGAAGAACGTCGCATCAGGTCATCCGGTCGTAGTATGGTTATAACGACTCACATAGGGAGTTAACAATCTTTCAAGTTTACAGGGAAAATTCTACTTTGAAAAGGGGTTTTATCTATTTAAAACTACTTGAACATTAATAATATAACACACACACTCACATTCTCGGTCTTGGGATTTAAGGCTACATAACTTTTTATAAGGAAAATATTGGATTTTATTTAGGAAAACGCATTACGATTATAAACATCATAAGTACAAAACACACACTCATATTCTCGGTCTTGGGATTTAAGGCTACATAACTTTTATAAGGAAAATAAGGGATTTTCTTGAAGTATACATGACAAAGTACCAGATTTAATACTAAATGGCTTTCATGATATTAAAACTACGTTTCATCTAGAATTGCTAGACTTCAGCTATAATTTGCTAAGTGTGCATGTTAGAGTTATATATGAATTTAGTCGCAATCGACCTAGAATTGGTGGGCCCGTCTTACTTGCTGTTCCTTGTTTGGTTGTGGACCATGGGCAGACCCATTATATTCGACAGTTTATTTAACTTAAATTTTATATAACTTATATACACTGGGGTGATTATAGAAGGAATCTACAGGTCTCTCTAGGGTACATTATTGCATAACATAGGAGAGTTCATTTCGCGTTTAATAAAGAAAATATTGAATTTTCTGGAATCATACTCTATCGCTTTTTACAAGGAAAATGGCTTCTTTCTCAAATATAACTCTTATGAACTCACCAACTTAATTGTTGACACTTTTTCAAACTACTTGTATTCTCAGGAATTCAGTGAAACAGGAAATCAATCGCTTTTGAGGATGGGACGTTAAATCGTCAAACATTTCATTTTTGTCATCATAAGTGTAATTGATTGGAAACATGTAAACACATACTATAGTATAACTTTTTCAATTATATTTATGATGGTTGTATTTACTTTGAGCACTATTATACTCGTTG